ATTAAAAATAGTTTTTTAAGATTGGCCTATACTATCTTTATCTTTATTTAAATAAAGTATCGTAGTTTTATTATTATTAACTATAGCTTTTTATATATTAATATTTACTTATTCTCGCTTTAATAGATATATTCTTAATTTATAATAGTATTCTATACTTTCTTTCTATATATACATAGATAGGCTATTTAGCCAAAAGATATTTAGATATTGTAAATAAGAAAACGCTTTTATATAATATTTAATATATCCACTAGGTACGCTATTTTATTAATATTAACTATCTAAACTATCTACTTAACTATTAATATCTACGCTATCTTTACTAGCCTAGATAAATAGCCCGTATATCTATATAACTTCTAAAAGATTTAGTTAATAGTATTAACACCCAGCGTCGCTAAAAAGTCAATAATTATACTCTCAAAGAGATCTTCTTTTAGTAAGTAATCAAGAAAGATAATTGAAAAGTTTAAATACATTTAATCGATCTAGGTATAGATAGCTATTTTCGAGCTATTCTTTTCTTATAGAAGATATTAAATAGTAATCTCTATATAATCGAGGGCGGCCAGCTAGATTATAGTTAACTAGTAGTAGAGAACAATAATCTAGTTAAGATAGCTAGTATAGTAGATAAAATAGATAAAATATTATTATATCTATCGATATCGCTAGTAAATTAATAGCTTAAAATAGATCTAAAGTAAATAATTCTAGATTCCCGGTTAAAACTGGAAATTATTAATATAGATCTAGTCGAACTTGTTTATACAGCGATTTTCAATAATTTAATAAATATATATAATTAATTAGGTAACACTCGCTATAAATACTATTAATAGAGACTCCATTTATAGATAAGATAACGCCGCTAAAGCTACTACTATTAAAAAAAAGTAATTATATAAATATTTAAATTATTGTATTAATTTTAACTATAGCAAGACCTTTATAGTATTTTATTAATAAAAGATCTACTGATTTTTCGCTGTGTCTACGGCTAGGTCGCGGTTAAGTTTTTAATAAGTCTAGGCCTAGATAAACACCGCGCGACTTATACTAAAAGACTATTAAAAAAGCTATTAATAATCCTATTCTAGGGATTAGATCTTAAATAGGGCGCTATTTACCCTGGTAAAAAAGAAATATTAATAATAGATAAAATACTCTAGTAATCCTGGTATTATTATAATATAGATCTAGTTACTGCGTCTCGACCTAGACTTAAAATAAACCCACTGTATATAATACCATAGATTCCTTAGAAATTAATAGATATATAAGTAGTAGAGATAGTCTATTCCTAGATAAATAGATAAACTAGTAATCGAAGGACTATATAAAAATAGAAATATATAAGACTTTTAAATTAGATTTAACTATAGTTATTAAAGTATTACTATTAGTATAGTTTAATAAAGCTAAAATATAGCTATGGTCGGATAAGTTATATAATATCAATAAAGATAGATTTTTAAATATCGCGGGCTAAGCGTATATTAGTAGAAAATATAAATCCAGATACAATAGAAAGTATAGTATAAGAAAAGATCTATTATATAATTAATTTAAATATTTACTAAATAAACCAAGAAAACTAGAAATAATTAAAAATAAATTATAATAACTTTAGCAGAGTACTAATATTAAATAAGATAAAGAAAATTTATAAATTTATCTAAAAATTTAAAAAAATAAAAAAAGAGATTTTCTATTTTTAGAGATTTACTAGGTAATACTAGCTATATACTATTTATATTATAAGAAAGACCAAATATTAATATTTAAATTTTATTTAGATTAGTATTATTGATTCTTTACGCGTTTAGCTAGTTTTACGTTTTATTATTCTATTCTTTTCTTTTATTTCTTTTTCTTTTCTTTTTTCTAGTAAATCTCTTATCTCAGCTAATAGAATAGATTATTTTATTTTACTATAAAAAAATACAAAATTATATATCGGGAAAGTAAAAAAGAATTAAGATTAGCGATATAGAGAAGGACAGGGACAAGATAAATAATTATAAAATAAATAGAGATAAATAACTAGATAATTAATTAATTAAAGAAATTGAGTAGTTAATAGAGCAGATCAATTACTATATATATAGAACCGCGGGTACATAGCGGAATATCAAAATTAGACCAATCAAACAATGCGACGGTGGAACGAGGGCTGGTTCCGGCGCGGACTAGGGTATAGGGTAATAGGGCATTATGTTCCTCCTCTAAATCTTTAAGATGACCAATAAGCTTTTTAAGCACTGCCATTAAAAGGGCCCTGAACAGTGCTAGAACCTCCAAAGGTAATTCCAATTTGATAAGGCTTTGGGCCTTTTCAGATATCATATTTGACAACTCCTTACAGAGTCCCGTTCCTTGAGGAGGTGCAGAGCTGATAATTGCCTAGACAGAATCAGGGAAATTATATACCGAACTTAAGGATATAATGATTGACAAACTGGACCCGGGGGTCCGGAAAAGGTTGGACTATAACGGGATCATGTCCCATCCGCAGGCAATCCGCTACGTCGCCGAATTCATGCAGCAAACAGCATTGCTCAGTCAATTTCGGGCGGTTGAGCAAACTTGCCAGCCGATTCTAGGTAGCTGAGCAAACTGGTCACCACTAAAGACAGACAGATGTGGAAGACGATGAGTAAATAGTCACACCAGGAAGGACCCGGTCAAGTCCTTCTATATATATATCAACGACCACCTACCAGGGGTACTAGAAGGAACCAAAAAGGATGGATAGGGAAGGCAACCGCCAGGGGGGTGGCAGGCGGGTTTACTTGGGTTTAAAAGCATTTTGATTTAGACTATCTTCTGTGGGATATATGGCGTTTACAGTTAGATTCTAGGCTCCTAAGCACCTGCATAGCTAGACGTTCAGTAGTTAGGCTCTACCAGGTTAATAGAATCTTGATTGATTGATTGATTGATTGACAGAACCAGGGAAGCTCTTATCACACCAATTTATCTCTGCCTAATTAACTGAATAGTCTTTGGTGAGCTTCTTCAAAGGATAGGTGATTAAGTTGCTCGATATCATCAAAGAAAATATAATCAAATAGACCATTTGAGAACACTCTTTCCAGATCTTGCCTTTTCCAACCTTGTTTCTGACCAATCTTTGCAAGTACAGTATTAAATTGGCGGATTGCATCGCCATAGTACTCGGTTTTGAGATACTCGCAGAAGGGCTTGTCATCCACTTTGAATTGTTGCCTGTATAAGAGATGCCGTTAGACAAATATTCTGGAACGAGACCTTGCTGTAGTGCGACAGTGCGAGGACGGTAACCCACCATTCTTTCGCCCAATGGGGCCGGATGTTGAGCTTTTGCCCATTCCATTCTCTCAGCTCCATCCATTTGTCGAGGACCTCTTGCGCAAATGCATCCCAATACTCGGTTGCCGATTCTAGCGTCAAGACCTCAATTGAGGCTGTTCCGAGACGATTTCCGCGCTGAGGCGCCATCAGCACATTGCTATCGCCCATGATTCGCAACTCGAGAGGCAGACGCATTGGGCACTTGTCTGTGTGTTCATACGCCTTAATTATTGCTTCCCACCAGGCATGTTGGGCAATGGTGAAGTCGGGTTTATCGAGGTTATCGGGTTGATGAGGGAGCTGTAACATGTATAGTTAGCGAATGACTGACCCGGGGACTAGACGACGAATACTATAGAAGAATACTGAGAGAAAAATCGAGTTGATCATCTTACGGGTATCTCAAGTTCCATATCTCGGACACGCGTGTTTTGAATCGCTCTTCTGAAGTGAAGCGCATCTGGGAGCCAAGCCTTGATTTTTTTGCCGGCAGGCAGGGAAGCCATGCCTAGTCTCGCTGTATTTCATAGGATTAGGTGGATCTCTCGAGCACACGAGTGCCGGATTGGAAGCTGTACTTACAAACTGCAGTAGTCCTTAACAATGGCAGTATTTCCACAGTATTTGTGTCTTTGGCGAGGTATTGTAGAGCCTCTATAGCAACAGCCTGAAGCCATTGCACTACAATTTCTTCATTATCCGGATAGCTCTGCACACCTCGAGGGTCTGGAGTTGTGGACCATGTATTGATCCAAACTTCGTCAGAATAGGGGAACCAGAACCATTCTGCGTAGTACTCCTCGGCAGCCTTCTTCTCAAATTCCTCTTGGGAACGCCGGATCTGCTCGGGCGTCCGAGGCTGGTTGAGCGGTGCAGGGACGCACGACCGAAGGCTGTCCGGAGGCGGTATGGCATCGATCGCGGCCTGCTTCTGAGGTGCCATGGCCGCGTATGTCATCTTGTCTACTACGAGGGTGATATGGGTGACGACCCCGATCAACCCAAAGCAACCGCTGGCTGCAGAGAGAAAGTCGTCATCGGCTCGGGTGATGACCTGCAGCTTACCATGCACATCCGCATACTCGATGGCATAGACGAGGTCACTTAGTGTCTTATGTCTAATCCCGGCTCCGTGGCTAGGTGAATATCAGCGTGTGTGGCTTGCTTTCGTCTTCAGAAAACGGGATGTATGTCACATACCAGATCGGACCATTGCTACCACCAAAGGTAATCTCTACCATAATGACATTAAGGGGTAACGTTACGCGCTTTGTCTTTACACACCAGTATCGAAACTGCTCGTTGGTTGTCGCGCAGCCCACCCGGACTAGTGACTTGGTCGGATCTTCTTTCAAAGGGCCTAGCTCCGTGATTGAATTGAGTAATGTAGGTTTGTCCCCGAAAAGAATGGGACAGAGAGGATCAAGGGATTCCACATTGGGAAGTTGTGCTGCCTGGTGTAGACTCAGAGTAGATATGAGTATACATCCCTTGTCACGAGCAAAAACAGGTGACCAAGAATGGCCTAGAAAAGTGTTAATTCAGTCATCATATAAAGCTCTACCCAAGAGACACGTACGATAGCCAGACACGCGAACTCCCAGGTTGTTATTTGTGGCATATAGAACGATTTGCTGTATTCCGTAATTTGTCTTCGGGACGCATGTGTAAACGGGCTGGTTCTCGACGGTTCGTCCCCAGTTACAGAACTCAGCGCCCTCATAAGTCTGTCGTGTTATTAGCAACTTGAGATCTGGAAATATGGGGGAATGGGGTGCAGAATACCAGAACTGGTGTTGAGCGCTGGGGATCCTCAAAGAGGCCTATATTAACTGTCTCTGGTGGCAGCTCAGCGCGTAGGTGGAACAGTTTCTCCAGCTTGTTCTTGAACCTCTGTTCCCAAGGTTCTCGGCCGCCTTCGATGTCTTGGGGGAGAGGAAGTTGAACCTGATTTGCGTTCTCCATATTTTGGAAACCCTCACGGGTGGCTCTACTGCAGCCGAAGTCAAAAAGGCGAGCAATTTCGTGCACCCTGGAGTTTGTAGTGAACGCTTCGAGCATTTTACTCTGGTTGGGAGTACACGTTCCGAGCAGGTGCGTCCATAGATCTTCACGAGTCGTTTTAAAGCTCTGGATTATCTGGCGAATGAAATCTTCATCTAGCACTTCGCTATCTTCTGCCCAGTTCTTCTCAAACAGGGAATTTGGGATATTTGGGTTGGCGACTGGATCCTCGACCAGATCTTGTATCAGCCTGCGAAAGAGGTCAACCCGTTCCTGGGCGGGCGGTGCAGTCTGCGCTTTGGAGAAAGCATCCTTTACAGAGCTGGGTTTACCGCCGCTGGAATCCATGACTAGGTCTTAAAGAAATTACTTGAGTGAAGCCTAGAGAAGGCAAAAAGATGTTGATTGAATGCTATGTTCACCAATGTCTGGTGTGGTCGTCTAGAGATCCGTCAGCGCAGTGATCACGTTGAATCTCAAAGTATAAATATATAAATGGTAGAGCAACGCAGACAAAGAACGACCAAAGGATCCAACATACATCCAGGACATAATCCGAAGTTGTAGATGGCAAATTCTGATCATGAGATCTAGATCAGAGCTCAACATGTCAGTAGCAGAGCAAATGCAGACAGAGAAGGATACAATGACCCAACTTCCACCCATGATGTAGTTGAAATTTGCATGCTGAAGGCTGATCATGAGACCTAGTACAGACATTTGGTAGGAGAATGCCTAGATATCCGCATTCGTCAAGTCATGAACCATAATGCAATTATTAAGCTGATCACTTGGCCAACTTTAAAAAATCAAAAGAATTATTGGGCTGAAATAATCTGGACCTTTGAGACAAGTTTGCCACTGCATATCACCAGCCACTAAAAAGGTAGGTTGGAGATTATGGTAAGATTTCCGTGGAACCCGTTCCCGAGGACCACCCTAAGCTTTACTCAGACATATTACATGACCATTGCAACGCAACTGCCGCAAGCGGATGGCTGTGATAGAGTCTTCACATATTGAGTGCTCAGATCATCTTGGTTGGTCGTATAGACTGCCCCAGATAGCAGAAGAATCACACCACTCACATGCAGCTGTGTGACAACGTATTACAATGTTCGGTCCTACGGCGCCCTTGCCAGGTGACCCCCGACTACAAGAGCGGCCGTGCGGAATGATCGAGGGAATAAGAAGGCTTTCAAAGAAGGTTATGGGTATCCCAAATAAATATACTTTGGCGAGGGGCAGCCAGATGAATAATCACCCAGATGTACGGGCTCCAGACGAGGGATATAGCAGAATCACTTAATCTCAGAGGGGCAATCCAGAGCATGGTTTTTGTGAGACAGGCCAAAATATGAATAGTGCCGCACAGAAGGGGAGGTTTTATTATCAAATTAGGCCTAAAGGCTAGCAGCAAGCTGAGAACATTCTACGTTGTGTATGCTATGTTCTAGGTATTCAAGACGATCTGTACATCTTGGCTGGATCCGGTTCAAAGGCGAGGAGACGGGAACGGATATTTACGAGACGAAACGCATTAGTATCTCTTAATCTTGCCAAACGATACGGAATACTAAATTTCAGCCCTTTCTCCATTAAACGATCCATCACTTGACTGGATGAGCAGTTGGACGAAAATATTGGAATGACACTTGGACCGCCAGAACAAGTCTTCAGGCCACAGAAGCTCCCTACTTCAGTGGCCAGGTGAGTATTTGCGCTGACTAGAAGCTTACCCAAAGCTGCATAGCAAGATTCTCCATCATCACAGCTTAAGTCCCAATATGGAGCGATCTGCCTAGACTAAGCTTGTTAATTGCGGTCGTTTTGTGATCTAGATCATAAAAAAAGCTGTATCGGACCCATCTGGTGATCGTTGCAACAGCACAAATTCCTTGTTCCGTTGTGCTGAGTAAACGAGATCAAGCGCTGGGCAGAAGCTCTATGGAGGCTCCAGCAAATAGCCGCACTTCTTGAAACATCGGGTTTAGAATTTGCAATACCTATTTGTTTCCATGGTCATAGGTATCGTAACGTACAGGCCAGAAGTAGTCGGTGTAAAGGATGTTCTAGAATGGCCGGCAATCCATATCTGCAACTCATATGTTCTTGGAAGGGAGATTGAATCTTTCATTTGTAATGATTGACAGGCTGGGTGATTCAAATACCCGTGGCAACACTCACTCTTGCGACTTTTAATAGGCTAGCGTCGTTGCTCGTCCACTACCACACCAAGCTAGATTATATCTATAAAGAGCGTGAGAACCGACTCACGCCTATCGAGAAAGTCGTTATTCCTCAAGAGGAGGCAGATGACCTCAACCTGCCGTCGGCCACCGATGAGCGGATTGAACGACTCACGGAGTACTATCTTATTTGGAGTTGTTAGGCAACTGACGATGTACCTTACATAATACGGCTCATTCAAGATCCGAAATTTGAGAAGGCGGGTATGGCGGACGATTTGTACTGCAAGCTTGCTTTCGTCCCTAACGTCATGGAGGATATGCCTATAGTAACACTTCTCGTCAATCAAAGAGCCGCAAGGACAGCTTTTTAGCTAGTCTTATTACTGGATCGGCTTGTTTTCAAGTTTATATGATAAGAAGCTTGGGATCTCTGCATATCGGCAAGCCAGCATTCAATACAATGGAATACTTGCGAACCAACCCGTGAGCGAGCCTGACTGGTTTGGTACAAGGAGTAAAATATATGATACATAGATTCAGTGGGTTAATCGCATTAATAGAAGGTGTTAGAGAGCCAAATTATGTGTGGAGTTAGGAAAAAGGAGAGCTAGTTTGACCACACAACAGGCATTCGTCACAATAGGTTCTATTGTGTCTTAAGGAGGGATTGCTTTTCTGTCTTCATAAATGTCCCATACCGGAGGCTATACGGCTTGGTATATGTAAGATTCAGATTGGCTAGATATTAGTACAACTATCAAGCATCTTTATATCTTGAGCTAAACGCTCCTGTAGGACTAATTAATCCAGCAATAAGACATTCAACAAGCTCAAATCAAAAGCTTTTAGATGGGCAAAATCTTCATCTCCAGGCTTCAAGTCGGTAAACGAGCTCAGTTAGTTAAGCACCCACTCATGTTGCCAATATACCAATTATGAGCCGCAAGGTCCATTCCTGCCGTGCCAAGGTTCCCATTCTTGTTGTCAATGCCCCAAATTACTTCGACATCACTTTCCGTGACTGGCTGGTCATTTCCTGAAGTGATCCAGAATTCTGGAGATGTTGTGCTGTACTGCCAAGTCCTATTAACCAAAGGGGTAGTAGAGAAGGCCCTTGGAACTGGATCGTCTGAATGTGTTACTCTATATCCACGGCCTACTGTATTATCACTGATAAACCCAGCGAAAGTATGATTCCCTAATTGAGGGCAACCAAAGGTATACTGCCCTTACATTAGCATGGGGGTTATTTTGCAGTTGTGGAAATACTTACCAAATTAATGGGTCTATTGTTAACAGTCCCCTCAAGTACTGCACCAAGTGTAGCTAGTGCACCTCCAAGACTATGACCTGTGAAGACAATAGAATACTGCGGATATTGAGCAGAAAGCTGCCTAACGCGTGGCATTATGTATTGTGAGAAGTTTCCCCAGGCATAATAATAACCATGATGCACATAGCAGCCTGCACCACAAATGCCATAGATAGGCACCTGTTCATATTCAAGGTCGGTTACCGTATTGCCTGGAGTCCGGGTACCACGGAATGACAGAATGATCAATCCATTTGTGTTGTCGACTGCCAGAAAGCCAGTGGTATTGCCTGGATAGTGGCTATTTTGACGTTAGCTTATAAGTTCATATCTGGTCGACGCGATCATACCCCATGAATCCAGTAATGACTTGTGTGTCTAGCTGCTGCAAAATTGGGCATACACCTGGATCGCAGACGACCTTTGACCCGTGGGAGTCAAAGTTTGCTGCACAAGTAGCAGCAGCAGAATATTCAGAAAACACCGTGAACCAGGTCAAAATTTCAGGAGGAACACCTGGGTAAGATGTTAATCTTAGAAGATCTGTAATGTTATTTCACTGACCTCGGCGTTCAAGATGAATATCTGCAGCCGGCATTGTCCACCCCAAAGAGGGGAACAGGAGACTGCAAAGTATTACAGTTGCAGTGAGCATTTTGGGCTGAAGAGGGTGATCAAGGCAAGTGAATTTGGAGGAACGGTAAAGTAACGGCGAGAATACCCATCCCAGGGGGGTATATATGCGTGGGTTCAAGGCTCAGAATGAACGTCACAGCTAGATCACAGCACATCAGCACTTTGATCTCGTTAACATTCCATGGAGACATTGTCCTTTATTTTCCGGTGTTCTCCGGAGGGGCATATCCAACCCAAATTGCAACAAGCTTTACTGCTAAGCTGTCTCCTGCTGTTTTCAGTAAAAGCATTTGACAACTGTGAAAGTCGGATTTGACCAGTCAGCAAATTGAGTTGCTCCCATGGTTCAACCCATTGATATGAAATGATTTTACATAGTCACATTTCCTGTGGTAAATCAGAACAACTGGCACGGATGGTCATACTATAGTGATGATGTGTATTGGTGTCGATCGAACCGACTATGTAGTGACTCTTATCTATATTATTAACTAGAACTTATTAATCTATCTTCTTTATATTATCTTAACATAGATCTAGTGTGTATAGAGTGGTACGGTTTAACCGGAAACCCGGCCCCGAACCCACCCCAACCCGGCTCCCGGTTCGAGTCGGGTCCTAGATCTAGAAACCGCTCCAGGTTTTGGGTTCTAAAGCCAAAACCCATCCCAAACCCAGAAACCCGAGCAGGTTGGAATGGGGCAGGTTTCCTGGGTCGGGTTAAATCCACTGACCCACTCGCTTAATTTAAATGAATTTTTAAATTTTTAAATTGTATTCATATATATAGTATATATATATATATGTGTTTAAAACAATTAATATATTTATATAATAATAGTAATTTTAGTAAAAAAACAATAAAAATAAATAATAATATAAAAAATTAAATCGATAAATCTACATAAATCCGCTATTTTATTTAAATAGATAAAGTTTTGTTGAATTAAATCTAATCTAGATTTTAATAAACCCTCGATAAATTAAATTAATTTAAATCTATATAAGGTGGGGGCGGGGCCGGGTTTTAAATTTGGAATTTAAAACTAAAGTAAATTTAGGATTATTTTTAAATTTTAAATTTAATCTCAATCTAAATATTACTTTAGTAATTATATTAGTATAAAATTAAAAAAATTTTATTTATAATAATAAAAAAACATTATTATAGTTAATTCTATAGTTAATAGTTATTTTAAAATTAAAATTAGAATTAATAATATTAAAAAGATTTATAATAATTTATAAAAAGTATAAAATTAATAAAGATTTCTTTTAAAAAAA